TTATGGGATTAATTTTAACAATACATATTTTTAAAACCTATATTAGAGTATAATGAAAGTACAATGTGCATAATTCATGCAAAAGATTTGGCCTACATCTACGCCAATGAAAAGTTGCTTTAAATGGAAATGAATTACAGGATACAACCATGAACTTCTTCCCAAGAGAATGTGATAAAAACACTTCATGGGAATTGATAGAGATCATTTCTTAACATAGAAACCAGACCCATAGTTTTCTCTTAAGATTACAGAGAAGGGAAAAATAAACTCAAGTTGCATAAACAGAAGACTTCAGCCATCAAGAACTTTGTAATAAACAGCGTTTGAACAACATGCTGCAAGGGTCTCTATAAATTGTTAAATTTCAGTAAATAAGCAATGCTGTGGAGGAAATAAAAATATACCTTTAGAATAATCCTTTACCTAAAATTTTACTTAGTATTTCAGCTGGAAATTGCACAGGAGTAATTTGGTTCTACAGAGAATATGATTTAAGTAGTTTTTGAAAACAAAGTACTCTTCTACTTCCAAACATTTTCCTGAGTTACAGCCTCTTGTCATTTATTTAATTTGATGATATGAGAGGTGACAACAGTTACTAAAAATGGTATAATTGTTTTAATGCATGAGTTGGGGAAAAATAGAAAGTTGAACGTCAGTAGGCTTCACTGTGTTGAAGGAAAAGCTGTCAGAAGTCACGAGGAAATAATCTAACTAGTTGAGGAATGACTGTGATTTCAATGAAGAGAGAACAAATAGACTATAAAGGAAGACAACAGATTCGAAGTAAGTGCAGGACGTGTGTGAGTACATTCTTTCTCCTTTTCCATTGCTCTCATTAATATGTGATATTTTTTGAAAATAAAATTTTAGTCCTGTGTTAAGAAATTGTATTCATTAGCAGCTAATTTTTAAGCAGGCTCTGTGGTAAAATCTATAGGCTAAGACACTTCTGGATTAAAAGAGCGTGACAATTTTAAACAGTTGGGACATCAGGGACCATATAAAGAAACTTGTGCTTCACTGAAGAAAAATATCTAAACATCTAAAAACTTAAATATTATGGGAAAAAGATTGCAAAATATAAAATAAATTTTAAAAAAAGAGGAAACTTTGCACCTTATGTATCAAGCAAATGCCAGGTCCATCAGATAAAATGCTAGTCCTAGATTGCCTATTGATTTTAAAACAAAAAACCCACAAAAAAATAGTAAAATATAACAACAAATTAATGTTTTATAGAGCTTGGGAAAAAGAATTTTCAGCAAAGTACAAAAATTTAAAGCATTCCTTTCTTTAATTTTGTAATTCTTTATTATGGAATAGCTTAGAATGTCAGCTCTGTTTGAAGTAACAGAATTGATAACTGAGCAAGTAAACATAATTGGGATTATAAAATTCTTGCTTTAACAAAAATTCCTTAAACAGTGGAAAAAAAAAAAGAGCAGGACACTCAAGGACCTTGTTATTCACTGGGGTGAGGTGGCTGATTCTAGGAAAATAAGATCAAATTCATAGAAGAATACAACCCGGTTTATTGGAGAACTGCACCTGAAAAAGGGACATGTGGTTACAACTCTAGGGACATAATGAAACTTTGACCAAGAAGAAAGCATTTTAAATTTGGCAAAGGCCAGTATTGTGAGAGGAGATCTCAGAGATAACTGAGGCTATTTTCCTCAGTTTACAGAGGGGAAACTTACGGGCCAAGAACATAAGGACGCAAATCTGAGAAGTGGGAGACTTGGGGCAGGCGCTGAAATGCCTTTTCTCCTGCCTGTTTTCACATGTGACCAGTAACTGAGAATGCAGTGCCCACTCTTAGGAAAAAAAGATCCACTACCTTCTACAGAAGCATGTGAGTTGTTCATCTTTCATTAGCAAGCGCTAGATTCTGTGTGTAAAATCCTGAACTGATTTGGTTTGTGATTTTTATGGAGAGTTTAGAATAAGAGGTAGCTCTTTGTTTCCATTGACACACTTCCCATTTAAATTTGAGTGGCTAAAATGAAACAAGAACTGAAATTTGCAGGAGGTATTCTGGTTTAGCCTGATGGATTCAGATATGTACGCAGACTTCAGCGTGGGGAGAGTTAAGGTTAATGTTCAATTGTACCTGTTGCTTTAGTTGTTTTTCACAGGACATATAGTGAAAAGGTCATTGACTCAAACTCCAAAAACTCGGGTTTTAAACCTCAGTTTGCCCTACATTGGCGGTGTTACTATGTACAAGTTTCTTAGCCTCTGTAAACCTAAAATACTTTTTTTGTTGGTTTTTCTGTGTGGTGCCATTACATCCTTACAATAAAATTGCTATATGCCCACTATTTCATTTTTAAATGTTCTTATTCATATGTTACTAACGTTAAGCTTCAGAACCCCTCTCTAATCATACATAGAAACACATATTTCCCTACATTTCATATGAAGAAGAAGCTTTTAAAAGAAAATTAAGAAATTTGCAAAGATTCTATCTGGAGTTAGTGGCTGAATTAAGACATTTAACTGGGGATTTTATGTTATAAAGATGAATCATATTTATCCTGGTAAATTAAAAAAATGAACTTTGTGACAGTTAATCATGATTGTTCTGTCTGCGAATAATTTGAATAAGAAAGAAAAATTGCCAGGTGGAGAAATTAATTATCATCTATAGCCTTCTAAACCAAGACAACTAAGTTGCATTTTTGGTGTATTCATAATAAATGAAAACAGATGGATGCACTGGTTTTGCATGAGAATATTCCAAGACTTACTTTACTTTGAGCTATAATTTCATGTAAGAATCTTAATATGCTTGAGGGAAGGTAAGCTGTATATTTCACATGGGTTTGAAATCATATATTTATGATTGCTTTTGTTTATGAAAATGGAAATGTATAAGAAGCCATTTCAAGAATAATACATGCCAATTGTATATTTCCTATTATTGTATTCAAATAAAATGAAATAGCCTTTCTTATTTATTGGAAAAATATTGCTCTAGTATGATTTTGGAGATGATCAGAACTTATTACTCAAACGTTTGCTGTTAATCTAATTCTAGTTCTTAAGATTCCACTACGGAAATAAATGTCTTTGTTTTAAAATTCTGGGTGTATCACCATGTGATTGTTCTTTGTGTGGGTAACAGTATTAACTTAATCAGTAACATGGAGAGGAGAGGAGAAAAATTAAGTCCGGTTTGATTGAGAAAACAACTACCTGTGTATAATAAGGGCTGAAAATTTATCAATGGGCAGGCACTTTGCAAAATTCTTGCAAGAATGAATTCCAGACGTTTGAACTTGAAATTATTTTCAAAAATGATGGAACACGTTACTAGTAATTCAGTGACTTTTCAACGACATGCTAGACTCTAAAACTTTACGTTAACATGTTGTCTCACCACCTACTCGAATGATTTTACATTATGGAATCAAGTCCTATTTGTTTGATATCACTTTTACTTGTTGTTGAAGAAATTGAAAGTACCGCTACATATATTTTTCTCAACCTAAAATTAAAATTTTCCACAGGAAAAAATACAGACATAAGTTAAGAAATATTGGGCTCAAAATGATTTTAATTTTCTAATGTTATTTCATTTGTTTCTGAGTCTTAATATTTGAATTTGTCTTAATATTTGAGTAATAATATCTACTGAATTATTTGCCTTAATATTTAAGTAATAGTATCTACCAGTAATATCCCTAAAATTTACTCCTGGAACCTTACATCCCATTGCTCTTTGAATGTCACAAACGTATGTTTGGAAGACAAGGCAGGTTAAACTGATGAAATTACTGCCACGTAGTAAAGGCACACTGTGGTGTGATGGATTTATCCCTGTCTGGAGAGTTCATGGGCTTCGACAAAAGTTTGATATTGGACAAAGACAAAGAAAAATAAATACACAACGTCTGATGACAGATTAAAAATAATTTGACTTGTAAATATAATATCCTACATTGAGGGCAAGACTTTAGTATAACACTCCTATCTGCACAATTTTTTAACTTATTCTCAGTTTTATTTAGCGGTTCCTTAAACATTCTGGTTGTCTTTGAATTAACCACAGGCCTAAACATCGTTGTATTTGAAAGTGTCAGCACAATTTTTATTAAATCACTAAGAGAACAGATAAAGAAGAATGCAAATGCATAAAAAGATTCACAATGATTATACCAGCTTCTTGAAGAGACAACTTCCCATCTTTATCTGCTTAATGATATTTTTCATGCTACCTAATGAAAAATCAGATGAAAGGTAATGTATATTCCAATAACAACATCTGAAATTTTACATTTACTTGTACTCAAAGGAAAAAGTAATAGTTGTGTGACTTGTTCTCTGAAAGATTTTTGAGGAACCGAGAGTAAAATCGACATCTTTTTGCAAAGAATCATTGTGTTTTGCATCAGGCTTTGTAAATAGACGTTGCCTAAGGTAAAGTTTTAATATTGACGATTGAATGAAGTATTAATGCCTTCTGAGGCAGGGATTGATTAAATGGGCTGCATAAGTTCGGGGAGGGCACCCAGAGATTTTTTATTAAGGAGTCATTTTAATGGAATACCAGACTTTTATTCTTTGAGACACTTGAGTGAGGTAAATTAAACCCAGTCGGTTCCCTGAATATAACATGATCATCAGGGCTGGGTGTGGTGGCTCATGCCTATAATTCTAGCAGTCTGGAAGGCTGAGGTAGTCGATTGCCTGAGCTCACAGGTTAGAGACCAGCCTGAGCAAGAGCGAGGCCCTGTCTCTAAAAAATGGATAGGCATCATGGCAGCAGCCTGTAGTCCCAGCTACTTGGGGGGCTGAGGCAAGTGAATTGCTTGAGCCCAAGAGTTTGAGGTGAGCTGTGACACCATGGCACTCTACCGAGGGTGACAAAATGAGACTGTCTAAAACAAAAAAAATTACAATCATCATACTTCTCAACACCACTTGCACATGTGATCTCACAAATTGTGTCATTTCAGGTGATTTGGGTGTTCCATCTACACTGGACCATGGGAAGAAACAATAACGTCACTGTGTTTATTCTCCTGGGGCTTTTCCAAAACAAGAACTCGGAAACACTGTGCTTTGTGTTGTTTTTATTTTGCTACACGGCTATTTGGGTGGGAAACTTGCTCGTAATGATTTCCATCACGTGCAGTCAGCTAATTGAACAACCCATGTATTTCTTCCTCAATTATCTCTCTCTCTCGGACCTTTGCTGTACATCCACGGTGACCCCCAAGCTCATGGCAGACTTGCTGGCAGAAAGGAAGGTGATTTCCTATAATAACTGCATGATACAGCTGTTCACCACCCATTTCTTTGGAGCCATAGAGATCTTCATTCTCACGGGAATGGCCTATGACCGCTACGTGGCCATCTGCAAGCCCCTGCACTACAGGGTCGTCATGACCAGGCGAAAGTGCAACACGATCGTCGCAGCTTGCTGTACTGGGGGATTCATTCACTCTGCCAGTCACTTTCTTCTCACCATCTTCTTATCATTTTGTGGCCCCAATGAGATCGATCACTACTTCTGCGATATATATCCTTTGTTGAAATTGTCCTGTTCTAATACACGAATAATAGGTGTTTTAGTCATTGCTACTTCAGGCCTGAGTGGTTTAGTGAGCTTCGTTACCTTGCTGTTGTCTTATTTCTTTATACTGTACACCATCAGAGCGTACTCTGCAGAGAGTCGCCGCAGAGCTCTTTCCACTTGCAGTTCTCATGTAACCGTTGTGGTCTTGTTTTTTGCACCTGCTCTGTTCATTTACATTAGACCCGCCACAACGTTCCCAGAAGATAAAGTGTTGGCTCTCTTCTACACCATCATCGCTCCCATGTTCAACCCTCTGATCTACACGCTGAGAAACATGGAGATGCAGAATGCCTTGAGGAAAGTTTGGTGTCGTCAAGTAATCCTAAAAGGAAATTCACCTTTCTGAATTATTTCTGCTTTGCATACCAGGGTTCTGTGAGACCAGAGCTGTGAGTAAGACCCTTTCTCACCATATTGCCTTGTTGATTGGAGAGATTAGTGGGCAAACAGGACAGATCGTTTTGTTGTTTTACACTATGACCTTGACTCCTCATCAACAAAGTAAACATTGTTCTTCATCTTTCCACATTTCTTAATCATTAAAATTGTGATTGGATGATATGACATAATTAGGTGACTTCTTAAAAATGAAGGATTATATGGCTTTGTATTAAAAATACATTACATATTTGTGCCTTAAAATGCTGAAAGCTGAATAAAATATTCCTTCCACTTTTTAAAAATTCTTACTGTGTATAAACTCAGAAAATTGCACATATGACCCATGTATGGCTGCTCATAAAACTTTCCTTACTGGAGTACAGTCATGTAATTACAACTAGTTAAAGAGGCAGAAGTTACGAAACATGTGAAGTCCTCCTCATCCCTCCTTGTCATTAGTACCTCTCAAAGGGAGGCACAATCTTTGACTGTGAAATCCATTAGATTACCTGTTCCTCCACTCTGTAGAATAAAAATGACCTAGATGATACTGTTTAGTGGATGTCTTCTCATGATTACATTTGTGAGTCATTCCTTGTGTTTGTAAATTTTCTGCATGTTTTCATGGGTCTATAGGATCTTACTGTATGGAGACATCTGATAAATTTATCCATTCTCTTCTTGCTAGGCATTTGGGCAGTTTTCCATGGAACATTATTAATGCATTTTGACCATTTTGAGACATTTCTTTCAGGCATCTTCTATTGCTTCATTATATTTTTTATTGTAAATTAGACTGAACATTTTAAGAAAGTGGTTTCTCATTTTTATATGTAATCTCAAGATATATTACTGATATATTATTGCAAGGGTACAAGTCAAATCTATCAAGTATTGAACACAAATGTCTTAATGCTGTGATAATGTAAATGAAGTGAAAGCTATGTTAATCAGTAGGATGTAAGCACTCTTATTTGTACAAATAAGCAACACATTGAACCCCACAAAGGCATAAATGTATTCATGATCTATGTACATATAACTTAATAAAAAAAGAAAATGAAAAGATATATTACTGATATAAAAGAATAAATATATATTAAATTTAAAAAATTGTCCATAGATAAACACTATGGTTAGTAGAATAGAAGCTTAGATACAAGTATGTGAAACTTCTGGCACATCTAGGATCCCCGCAGTAGGGTAAGGAATAAGCCAGTTAATGCAAACCTGAGTGTCAATCCTAGGCAGACAGAAGAAAGCTCTTCAGGGGTGATTCTACATGATGGAGCTCAGCAAACCTCTCAGGGATGTAGCATTAGATTATGTCAGCAAGATTAACCCAGGGGCATCCCAACTGGGAAATTCTGTCAAACAAGGTCTTTAGTGTAGCTAATGGAGTCACTTGTGACATTTGTCATGTTAAGTGAAACGGGGAAAGTTCTGTCTTAGGCTTCTAAGAAGGGAAAGGTGTACCCCAGTGGCTCCCAATAGGGCAGAGATGTCAGAATAGGGGAGGCATACTGGTGAGTTCATGCTAACACTAGATCACTCCACACACACCCTCAAACACACACACAGACATGTGCACAGACACACGCTATAGAAAACAAGGTCTTTTTAGGGATTTCTATTTCAGGCATAGTGGAAATAAGTATGTTCATGTAGAAGCCAAAAACCAAAGAAGCAGGGTTGTGCCTATGGCTCAAAGGAGTAGAGCACTGGCCCCATTTACCAGAGGTAGCAGGTTCAAACCCAGCCCTGGCCAAAAACCAACCAACCAACCAAACAAACAAAAAACACACAAAGAAACAGCTTTTTATTTATTTATTCAGTTTTTGAGACAGAGTCTTACTCTGTTGCATTTGGTAGAGTGCAAAGGAGTCACAGCTCACAGCAATGTCAAGCTCTTGGGCTCAAGTGATCCATTGGGCTCAGCCTCACAAGTAGCTGGGACTACAAGCACCACAACAGAGTCCAGCTATTTCTTTTTTAGAGACAGGGTCTCTCTCTTGCTCTGGCTGCTCTGGCACTCCTGAGCTCAGGCAATCCACCTGCCTTGGCCTCCCAGAGTGCTAGAAATAGAAATAGATCTTTAATTTAATTTTTGCTTAAAGGCATATACTAATCAAGCAATTAGAAATTACTGACTATAGGAGGGAATTAGGCTGGAAACAGCTCTTTCAGAGCACCATATGCAAAGACTACATTTGTTATAGTTATGAGATGACAAGTATAATGTGAATATGTTTATTATGTAACAAATAGAACATAATTTTACAATTGTGAAATTATAATGGGATTCTAAAATTTTTCCAATCTGTTAGAAAACAAGCAAAATAGCATTGGGAAGTGAAAAATAAATTATTATTAGAGACAAAAGTTCCTATCTAATAAATAGATAAAAATAGATAAATATAAAGCAATAATCAGTGAACTTAATTTTAGATATTAACAGATTATTAATACTCAGAACACAGAATTGAGAAAATAAAAAATGGGGAAAAATGGGAGAGAATGGAAAAAGTGGGAAAGAAAGGAACATATGACCATCAGATTCCTAGATTAGGGAATGAGAAAATGCACCAGAAGAGATAAGAACTGATAATTTTTCTGAATTGATAGCCTTTAGGTAAAGTTTCCATAATATTGCAATTTAATGAGTTCTTGTTACCCATGCAAAAAGTGTAATGGGCGGTGTCTGTGGCTCAGTAAGTAGGGTCCTGGCCCCATATGCCAGAGGTGGCAGGTTCAAACCTAGCTCTGGCCAAAAACTGCCAAAAAAAAAAAAAAAGAAAGTGGAATGATCATAGCATATTATTATGAACTACTATAATATCACTTAAATGGGCTGGAAACATTAAGGCCCAATATGTTAATTTTAATAGAATATCAGAACCTCCAGCAACTGCTTTGGAGTGCTTTCCGAATTTGATGAGAAAGATTCACCTTCTATGGCAAAGACAATAATAAATTGTTTCAGAGACATATAATCTCCTGTCATTTTTTTCCTCCATTTTATTATCCAGGGAAATTTAATCCTCTGGATGTTGTGCAAAGTAACTAATAGGCCTTTATTTTTGATACCACTATGCTACATGAACTTGTGATCAAGATTTAACAAGTATCCCGTATAGCCAACTATATCCAAGGGCCACAACTTCTCTGCAACTCCTTCCATCCAAAGGTGGAATCTATTTCTCCATGATTTTATCTGGGCTAATGTTGTGACACATGTCACATGTAACTTTGAAATCTTATTAGAAGGATGTGGTAAAAGTGATGTCATGTAATTTCTGAAACTTGGCATGAGAGTCTTTGCAACTTTAGTTTTTATATAACACAACCCTGATAGGATAGGGTCACATCTACAGTACTGGGGAATGGAGAGAAGTGAGTTACCGGAACCAACTTCCAGATATGTGAGTCAGGTTATATTGTACCACCCATAGCTTTAGAACTATCAACGTGTTTCCAGGTGAGAGCAGAGAGAAAACCATTCGGCTGCATCCAACCCAAGTTGAAGAATTATAAGCAAAGAAAAAAACACATTCAAGATTTTAGGTTTTGGTCTTGCGATTTTAAACTGCTAATTTTTGTGTTAAGTATTTTGATTTTGTGCCAGTCTTTTCTATTTAAGTTTTTTAAACAGCTAATTTTTGTGTTAACTATTTTGATTTTACACCAGTCTTTTTAAATTTTCCAGTAGATAAAAATAAATAATTTATATACATACTGGGTTCACAAAAACCAGAAAGCAGAAGATGAACACTGTGATGTTTCAGAGTGCTGCCACGGGGGTAGAGTTCTCAGGACTTCTGAGATGTGGAGAATGTGGAGATTTGATCAATTAGAAAGAAAGACCTCTTCTATTCTCATCTCCCACCATGAGGAGAAAGTCACAGTCCTTGAAGGGTCATTGAATTTTGGATATACCCTATATTACACACGTCGGGGTGCTACTTCCATCATTTGTGAGGTAACTATGGACACTTCTAGATTTCAATGGGATCTTCCCACAAGGGGAAAGAAAAGATCAAATCCTTTTTTATATGAAGTGTCACCTAAACTATTGAGCAACAGAGGGCTAAGAGCAGAGTGTGAAGGGGCCCGGCCTGGGTGGTTGGATGAGCCATCTGGTGAGTTGTAGCCCTAAGATCAGCTGCATCATTAGCAGAAATGATTGATTTTCTATTCCACTTTAAGTCTTCTGAGGAAATTCCCACCACCTTGAAGAAGTTGACTTGCATCTCTCATCCCTGATATTCAATGTCCCAGGTGCCTGCTGGGGGAACTCTGACCCAAGGAATGGACAGACCTCCCATCCACTGAGCGGTGGGAGGGCGGGCAGGCATAATTTTTAAAATTTTTTTCAGTACACAATGTTTTCAACTCTATTAAAAATCTCATTCGTACAGTAAAATTATAATTTTGATGAAATCCATCTTATCACATTTTTTCCTTTCAGAATGATGCCATTGGTGTCCTATCTAGAACTATTTAATCCAAAATAATGCAACCTTTCTCCATTTTCATTCTAAATATGTGTAGTTTTATATTTTACATATGTAAGATCAATAAAAGGTTTATATTGGGGTGGCACCTGTGACTTAAGGAGTAGGGCACCAGCCCCATATACCAGAGTGGCAGGTTCAAACCTGGCCCTGGCCAAAAACTAAAAATAAATAAATAAAATAAAAGGTTTATAATAAAATGTTTATTATTAAAATATTTCTGGAATATTCACTTTATTTTGGCTCAGAGTTGTTTTTTATTTTAATATAGGTATCCCTACATACAACATCTCAATACAGCATGAAATCAGATAAATTTTTAAGTCATTTTCTGATGCCAGAATAAATATTTGGTTAGCTATTACTTTAAATCTCTAAGTCCTATTTCCTTTATCAATTCCAGTCAAGTTAACAAAGTAGCACAAAATATATGATGTTGCTTTTAGTTTTTTCATGCACATTAGTTCTTTTCTTTATAAAGTTTCTGAGCGAATATTCTTTTGCAAACTAGTGTCCTTCCTTTGAATATAATGTTTGACACCAAACTTTTCTCAAGGTGTTTTTCATCTCCATATTTCTCAAAGTATAAATTAAGGGGTTGAACATAGGCACAATAATTGTGTAAAAAAGTGCAAATACTTTATCCTCAGGAAACGTGGTCGGAGGCCTAAGATAGGCAAATATGGAAGGCACAAAAAATAAGACTACCACAGTGATATGAGACCCACAGGTGGAGAAAGCTTTCTGTTTTCCCTCAGCCGAGTGATTTCTTAAAGTGAATAATATCATGACGTAAGAACCAAATAAGACAACGAAGGTAACTAAGGCAACCAGACCTGAATTGACAAGCACAAGGACACCAGTTATGTAGGTATCAGTACAGGCAACTTTTAGCAAAGGAAAGATATCACAAAAATAGTGATCAATCTCGTTAGGACCACAGAAGGGTAACCGGATGGTCAGAGATAATTGAGGAAAGGAATGGACGGCCCCACCCACCCAAGCAGCAAACACGAGGAGATTGCACCTCGCTCTGTTCATGACAACCATGTAGTGGAGAGGCTTACAAATGGCGACATAGCGATCAAATGCCATGACGGTGAGAACGAACACCTCCGTGATTCCAAAGAAGTGCACCGCAAAAACCTGTAACATGCAGTTACCATAAGAGATGGTTTTTGTCCCTCGTAGCAGGTCACCAATTAATTTAGGTGTAACACTCGAGGTGTAGCAGATGTCCACAGAGGATAAGTGGCTGAGAAAATAATACATGGGTTGGTGGAAAAGAGGGGCTCGTCGGATGGAGACAAGGATGAGAAGGTTTCCTACCAAGAGAGCGACATAGCAAAACAAGAAGAGCACGAAGCAAAGTATTTGTGCATTCTCATCATAAGAAAGTCCCAAAAGAATGAATTCTGAGATGTTTCTCTGCATTTCTGTATATTTCAGTGGGATATATTTTATGCACTAATAAGATAATTGTCTGAAAGAAAAAAACAAATTTGGATGAAAAATTAATACAATTAAGGGAACAAATGTCATTCAAGGAGATGATAAAGAAGGTGATTTTAAAATGAACTTTGTAGTCAGCACACAGTGGTACACGTATTTATTGCATGAATGAATAAATTAAAAATTCAAGGGTATAAATCTGTTATAGTTAATGTATAGCCTTTAGACATCATTTAGTCAGTGGAAAGAGCTTGTAGGATAGGTAGAATGCTCTCTTGGAGCTATTTTACCCTCTAAGGAGGAATTATCGACCCCAGTGGGGATGCAAAAGCTTTAACATGCATTCTTCCTTAGTCTGAATCTGACATGACAATCCTAGCTTGACACCTGGACGTCCATTATAAAAACACAAAATGCATTTCTCAGAAGGGTATTTAGAAGACATCAGATCTAGCAACTCGCAAAAGCAATATCTATGTTAGTTATAGTCCTTGAGATGAATTTACATGGCAGATCAATAACAGTAAAGAGTTACAGCATTGAAAAAACTGCTCTACTTTAGGACACCAATTCTGTTTTTAATTATTGTCCAAGAGTTTAACTTGATCAAAGAGAATTTTAAGTTTGTTCCTCCTTGATTATCAGTGTCACTTTCTATCCTCCTCTATATAACAAACCAACAAAATACTTATGAGGCACAGAGTGTTCAGAAATAATCAGTAAGTAGAAAGTACTGGCAGCTGGCTGGGAGGGTGTTCACTGGCCTCTCCCCTGCACCTGTCCTCTCTGTCTCCTCTATGTTCTTCTATTACACCTCATACTGATTCTTTGTTTCTGATGTGGAATATTGTTAATTTCTCAAACATATTCATTTACCTGAAATAATTGTATTTTAAAATATTTATCATACAAAGAGACTGTTAGTAACTTAAAAGTGAGACTTGTTGGATTAATATAAACCCCTTAGTTTTAAATAAAAAAGAATCAGAACAAGAGATGTTAGTAACTTCTCTGGATCTGAAGTAATACGCCATGGGTGCCAAAAGACAGAAATGTGGATTCTCAGTCCAGCGGGGCAGCCTACCATGCTTGAGAGTAGAGTGGGATGGAAGGAAGGGTCTCGTGGAGGATGGCAGTAAAAAAGAACTATTTTCAAAGCTCATTTCTGTAGAGAAGAGTATTCACAGTGGCAGGTTACTAGAAAGCCCAGTCTGTCTTCCTGACTACTCATGTGAAAAGATATTTTGTATTTACTATAAGTATGTGTTCTAGAGTAATCTGATTCTAAATCAGTTTGAAATGATAGTCCCTCCGTTTATTGATACAAAACTGTGAGTTCTTTGAGTCAGGATTCTTCCTTGTTTTCTAGGCCATCATTGCTGTTTAATCTACTTCTTATCTTTTAATCTCTTATCCTATATTTAGGGGAACATGATGAATGGGCACTGCTGATAGCAGGGGCAAAAGAGAAAAGTGAACAGTTAGGTAAGGATAACTTTAATCATTAAAATATATTATCTTGACCATAAAGGTAGTAAGAAAACATCTGTTAAAAAATTGAACCCATGGCAGCACCTGTGGCTCAAAGGATTAAGGTGCCGGCCCCATATGCTGGAGGTGGCGGGTTCAAACCTAGCCCCAGCCAATAACTACAAAAAAAAAAAAAAGAAAGAAAGAAATTGAACCCATAATGGAGGAAATAAAAAGTGTTAGGCAATGAATAATCAAGTGGTTAGAACAAGGACAACACAGAAAAAGGCAGAAATGCTGAGAAGTACAAAATAAAATGACCAAGTTGTGTTCCTTGGCCTAACTGTTTAAACTCGTAAGCCTCATTTTTCTTATCTATACAATCAAGATACCGTTACATAATTCAGGAGACAGTAAGGAATCTGTGAGATGGCGTGACGTACCCCAGCGCCTTACAAGCTGAACTTATTTTCCTCTTACATTCTTGCCTCTTTGAGTGAATAGTGTAGCAACTAATGAAATCGTCGTGCATGCACGTTCACCACCGAGTCCAGTGAAGAAATAAAGAATAAGAATCATCACACAAATTCAATTCATGTGATAACTAATGATAAATTGGTTATGTTAGGGCATTTCTTAATGCTAATCATGACACTGATTTTTTTGCACCATGGGGACAATCAAATAATTTATTTCTTTGGTAGGATTGAATAAAAATGTTGCATATCTTTTGGGGTGTTAATTTAACATTACAAGAATAGGTGTTCTGCTAATTAAAGTGTAATTTGTGGCATACGCTCAAAATTTCTCTGAGTATGTCAGAATGTAACACGCAGCTTACCTTGTTTGCTGTAGCATGAGCTAGTTCATTTTAGGATGGGACGTTTTCTCAAAGACAGGAAATTCTTCCTTGTGTTAGATATTCAGCCATTAGCTGGACTAATTTTTTTAATAGAAATGTAGAGGAAATATATAAAAGTACAAGAATGGTAAATAATGAAACTCACCGAGAACTTGAAAGTGCCTTTAATTCTATTGTTATTAACTGGAATTCTAATGATATAATAAATAATGCACAATTAAAACTGAATTATGCTGAAATATTTGTATAGTAATCAGCTTACCATATGCTGCAAGAGAATGACAGCCTTTAGAATAAAATTGTGTAAAAGAAATGTAAATAGCATGTACCAGCCTACCACGTGGTTGGTGGAACTCTCCACAAACCCAAGCAGCAGGATGATTCCCTGACCATCCCGTCTGAGTGACTGTCTGGTTAGTTTTAGGCTCCATCAGGAAGATTTCCACTCTCAGACACTCAAGCTGTCAATCTGCTCCCATTTCAAAATCAGAATAAAATGTAGAGAATTTTAAACCAGTCATTCAAACACATCCAGACTAATTCTTTGAAAACACTTGGGGAATCTCAACATGTCATATAAGTTCTACCAGTTTGCAAAGGAACTAGACTTCAAATATTCACTAAATCCATCAATGACGCAAGAAGTGCCTCTCTCAGGAAAGCAGACAGCTGGGACAGTGAATATCAACTGAACATCCTAACACTAGCTCAGACTAAAAAGAAACAAAAAATCCAAAAAGAAGTTCAAAATTTCTGCAGAAGCTAATCTGCATTTTAAGTCACAGGAGTCATCTGTTTTATGACTGTGCATGCAGGAAATTAGTGTAGAAAGAGCAGGATACAAACTTAAGTAACAGTGCAAGAATGATTTTGAAAGCCCTAAGAAATTAAATCCCCAGGGACATTTCTAAATCGATCCTGGCCAAGAGAGTGTCCACAGCGATGTTCCCCGTGCCTCTGGGCCTTGATTTTGTCCCTTCGGGATAACTTGGCTCAGGCACGGTTTGTCTAGAGCGCTCAAAATGCTATTGTCAGACAGAGCCGTTTACAAAGTGCCTACTTTGTGCCCTTGCTTAAGAATAAGAAGGAAAATACTATAGCCTGTAGTACTGTCAGATTAGCTTTCCAAAGAAGCTGAGATGAAGGAGGACAAAGAGAATCAAAGACAGGCATTTATGGTCTCAAACAGCCTTTTATAAAGATCCGAGGTGTGTAGAGGAGACAGATAATAGAATGAATGACCTACAGGATCATAACTGGCACAGGGTAACAGTACTGGAACAGAGGCAGGAGAATAGAACACAAAGAAACATTTTATTCTTTACATTTTACATATGTATGTATAGGTCTAAGATCCATTTTGAATTAAACGTGTACAAGGTGTGATTTATAGTGAAAGGTGTGTGAGAGAGAGGCACACACACAAGGGAATGTCTAATTCTTCCACCTCCGTATATTAAAATGATTACTTTTTTACCCACTGAATTGTCTAAAGACTTTTCATGAAAAGTAGTTGGTCACATATGTGCAGGTTACTTCTGGACTCTATTCTAGTACATTGGTCTATTTGTATATCTTTCTGAAAATACCAAACCATTTTGAACACACACGGCTTATAACGTAACTTGAAATAAGGCTGTGGGATTTCTTTAAGTTTGTTCTTTTTTTGTCCCGATTAATATGAGGGTGCATACAACTAGGACACATTGCTTGCATTTTGTAAGATGAAGGCTGAGTTGTTAGCGATGTCCCTCACCCAGGATGTGTCCCCCACACACTGTTCCCACTGGGAACCTTCCATGAAGACCACTCCCCCACTTCCTCTTTCTTGGATCCAATTGAGTTTTTCTTTCAGGAAGGTAAATTATTGTTCATCCACAAGTTTCTAACTAGTACTGAGTGCATGTGATGCCTGTCTTTCCTTCTTGGGATACCAAATCCATCCAAGTGTGTTCTTTTTTTAAGTTTTAGGAGCTAACGTAGGTCCTTTGCATTTCCGTATAAACACTAGAACCTATTTGGAAAATTCTAAAAGAAGAAATGCATGTTCAGATTTTATTTTTGATTAACTGAATCTAAAGATTAATTTGGAGAGTTCACATGTTAATCATACTGAATTCTCTGGCAAATAAACATAGTATTTCTTTCTATTTACTAAGAACATCTTTATGTTCTTTCAGTAAAATGTTTAGTTTTCAATGAAAGTGTCTTGACCTTATCTTGTCAGATTGATATTACATACTTAAATATTTTATATTTTTTCATGCTATTCTAATTGAAATTTTATATTTATATTTTTTCATGCTATTCTAATTGAAATTTTTAATGATACAATTTCTCTTGTTAGTTACTAGTATAAACTATAAAATTGATTTCTGTACAGTGATCTTATATCCCACGACCACACTAAGTTCACATTTTAAAAATCACTTATTTTGAGTAGGAAGTAGCATATCCAAGGTGAGATGATTTATGTAGAAAATTCTAAGGAACATGTAGGAAAGATGATATAATTTATAAATATCAAAGAATACAGATCCCGTAGATTGAGTTCTAGCTCATTCTCTTCTGTTCTATGTTTGGAACAGTTTGTGTAGAACAAGTATTTTTTTAACTTGTGTTTGGTAGAATGTGCTATTAAAGCTATACA